CTTCCTAATCGTTCATTCCAGTGACATACACAAGCTCTTGGTTAGGTGAACAGTCCGGTTTGCTCTCATTGGATTATAAATGCAGTGATTCACAAAAAAGGAGCACACGATGTCCGAAGGCTTTTACAATGTACAATTGGACATTCCGATTTTGCAGTTAACGGTCACATGCTGAATAAGTGCACTACCATTGCACACGTTCTGGTCGGACCCGGTGAACATGAGGATAAGCATAAACTGAAGCTAATAGCAATTGAAATGGAATCCTTTTCACTGGGACTCTGTTTGTACCGAAAGATCATACAAAGTTTAGCACTTTTGGACTGATAATAGTCAAGCTGAATGACGAATAATTATGGACAGAAAATAGAAAATGACAATCGGTCTTTCATTGCATCTGTTGACCAACCGCATGAAGGACAATATATTTTTTGTTCCTTTTATCGATCGGTCATCCGGAAGGTCGAAAAACGTGAATACATTTGGAAAAATGCACAACTCTGTTGCGTTTATTGGACTAGACGACCACCCAACAATGTTCTCATTACCCAACGAAAAAAACTGCCATGGGAACCATGCCAAAACACAACACATGCTAAAATGTGATTTGCAATATTCCTTTTGATTACGAGTGAGGAAAATGGCCGTTTGTGTATCACCAAACAATTTATCCGAAATAGTTAGATTGTGAGAAATATGAAGTGAATATCGGACGCTAAGCGGAGGTTTTCAATGTGGCATTGCTTAACGAGTAGAACGAATGACTTGTGTGCCTGAGAACATACGAAATATAACCGAAATCACATGATAGGTGTAAATCCGAGGATTGGCTACAGGCGATCTACTGAACGACTGCGATTTTTCTTCCGGGTCCGTGAGTAAAACAAACGGTCGACAGATGCGATGGCGGATGTGAACACAATCTATGACGGCTTTTTAAGAATGCATTAACCAAAGAGAAATGCGCCCGCCCGCCACCCGTGCTGAACACGTGAAATTGAACATATCCACTAATTGTTGGGGTCAAATAAGCATAACACTCGGAAGAACAGTCGAGTATCCTCGAAACGACCACCACAGTTTCACAGCCACGCAGTCATCAAGAATCGGATACTGCGGTCACTCTGTGACAACATCCAGCCGAATCAATAATTAGCTAAACACAGCCATGTCCCACTTCGAAAATTATCGTTCATCTGATATCAGATTTATTTGAATTTTTACATACAGACATGGTGAACAGTCCCAGGAAAAATCTGATGGTTGTGGTGGCCAAAGGTTCATACATTATAACCGTTCAACTAAGCTACATAATCCCTCCCCCCCCCCACATCACGACGAGATTGCAACCTTGACGTGGTGTGATGGCTTGCGTGCATCCATGACTCTGCGAGCCATACAGGATGGCTCCTCAGCCGCAGATCCAATCATGCCTGAAAGGTCAATGGGTAGAG